CGATCTACATCTCAAGTGACTACATCGTGAGACAAACGATAATACACTTTATTATTGCATCCACCACGATGAATAACAACAACCTTTTCCTCGACATTCGTAGCAATGCTTTCTAACGGTCAGCGAGTTCAAAACATATTTATTTAAGAACGGGAACGCACCCATGGAGTCATAACCGGCTAATGATACGTTTATGTTTGTGGGTTGAAATATTGCAGACTCACTTGGATTGTCTTTCGACACTAGAAACAACTTCATTACCTTGAGTGTAGGCTTGCCTCTGAGGGGGAGGAGCGGGATTGGTTATGTATTCTGCGTTGAAAATAATAATTGAGAATATTCAGTATGAAATATTTAGTCTTCTTTACCAGTATAAAGTGGAGATAAGTTTATGGTTCTCGTGTCGTTGATATGAAACATACATAATCTTTATTTTCTTTTAGAAAAGACAACAACGATTCATTTCCACAAGGAATTTCTTGATTTAGCTCCATTTGTTTGGGTTTACTACAAACAACGCATAACTCTCGCTAAGAACCACTTGTGAGCCCACTGGGTCATATTGTGAAGTTTAGTTGTGAAGTTTAAAAACCACATACTCCTGATTGTTACATAGCTGCAGGATTAGTATTAGAAACAACACTAAAATAAACAGCACAATTACGTGAGGCTGGCGATTGAAGCTGATTATCATGTTCAGGTACAAAATTGTTGACAGGCTGCTGCGAAATTGGCGTCACAACTGAAAAAATAAAACGTATATAAACATTCTATAATACACGATAAAAAGGAAAAAAAGCGGGTTCTAGACAATGAAGGCTTAAAATATGAAATTGATAATCATGACAGTGCAATCGAAACGTTAGCTGTTTCACAGCTAATTTTTCTCCTTAATCACACATACATAATCCTTATTTTCTTTTCGAAAGGACAACAAAGATTCATTTCCATAAGGAATTTCTTGATTTAGCTCCATTTGTTTGGGTTTACTACAACAACGCATAAAAATCTCGCTAAGAACCGCTCGTGAATTCACTGGGTCATATTGTGAAGTTTAGTCATGAAAACCATATATTCCTAATTGTTAGATAGCTGCAACATTAGTATTAGAAACAAAAACAAAGTAAACAACACAATTACGTGAGGCTGGCGATTGAAGCTGATTATCATGTTCAGGTACAAAATTGTTGACAGGCTGCTGCGAAATTGGCGTCACAACTGAAAAAATAAAATGTATAGAAGCATTCTATAATACACGATAAAAAAGAAAAAAAGCGGGTTCTAGACAATGAAGGCTTAAAATATAAAATTGATAACCATAATAGTGCAATCTAATTTTCCTCCTTAATCATACACACATTGTTTTGAGCCGGATATAATCCATAACCACCTTTTAACATAGAATGGAAGCTTATCACATAAACGACAGATGAAAATTGTAATTTTAGATTTATAACCCTTTAACCTTAGATCTACGCTTAATTTTAAATTATCAGGGATTGTCTTTGAAAAGCCCCTTTGATTGAAAGTCAATAAAGGATGAATGTATGTGTAACCTAACCCTAATATCCCCAGCAGAATGTAAGTGTTTTGCAATGTGCTATGTAACCCTCAGAAGATTGCCAATCAGTCTTGATTCTTACCGTCACTATTAAGCTGTGGCATGCTAGGAGTTAAACCAGTTGAGGAGAAAAACCTTTGGAGCTCTAAAAAACAAAACAGCAAAACGAGACGACACGCATTGAGCACTAATACCTTATGACCAGTCCACACATACGTTTTGACATAGCGACTTAGGTCCCAACACAATAATAATGAAACACTTCGTAACGATAGTGGAGGGTTCCATCTGGGACTTGAGTTCAATTGTTTGAACCCCGATCACGTTGAGTTGTGATGCTGTTATAGCATTTTTCCCTATCCGGGGTATAAATGGGTATCATTAAGTTATTGGACGAGCTGTCTTGGATGCTTGTTAGACCTAAAAAACCACAGCAAGATCTGTTTTCTACCTGTGCTGCTTGGCCCTACTTACTCCTTTTTGCATAACGAACAGTCAGCGATGACCTACCACTTCCTTCCTCGGGTTTCTTGGGTGGAGGGTTGTCCAGTGCGACAGCTTGATACACAGTTGCTAATAGATAAAAAAGGAACTGTTCACACTCACAAAACTAAGCTAACTCAAAACTAAAAGTGCGAAATTTATAAAAAAAAAACACTCAGCAAGAAAAGCATATCTTGAATTTAGGATAAGGTCCTCTAACTTGTAAAACTTCATTCGTTTCGGATAGCAACATGTGGATTGAGAATAACTCATCGTTCACAAACTCTATTTGAATATCAGTGAACTAAGGTTGAGTGTAAACTGGTGTCTAGTGTTTAACTCACCAACGTTAGATGGAACTTCTGTTTCACTTTGATCATTGAGATATTGTGGCGTCCCTTGTGAGACAAGGAAACGATAACTAAAATAAGCGTGTAGATTGATAGATACCTACCCACAAGTTCCTTTTAGCTGCACATTAAAGGGGCTAGGTCAGGCAATTTTGGGCAATTTCAGTCATGATCAAATGGTCATAGAATTAACTAAAATATCACAAAAACGGCTCAAAACTATAGAAGATCTCAAGTGAAACACAGGAAAGCCTGTAATGTTATGAAGGACACACACGGAGTAAAACGAAATACACTTTATTCGAACTCCACACGATTGTAACTGAACTTCAAGCTATAACAGAATACTGAATAGACTGAAGCACCGCGGGAACAGGTCCCTAGAGGCACGTGCTAATGCATATTATAACACCCTCCCTTTTATGGATAAGGAAAAGAAAATTAGCTTATAAATACACAATACGGATAAGCATGAATTGATAAAGAAAGTAACTGAGCTCTGTGATAACGCGCTAAAGGTCTTAGTATTCTAAGTGTTCTTAGTGTCCATGGCTTCATTTCAAAACAAAGTCATTTAAGTGTTTTGGTGGACGACGCTGACGCACTGATCGTCTAAGCACCGGCTTGGGTGGTGACGTCACTGCAGCTGAAGGAACTTCCGAGCCACTCGGAGACGAACTTCCTCGACTCGACGCGGGTAG